TTTCCCCCATATTTGGCTGGGGCCAGTACCACGACCGTATCATCTCACCCTTCTCAGAGACTCGATACTCTGTTGATAGATTCAAATTGGCGTTGTATCCAATGTCGAGGCTAAAGTTTTCCCACTGGGCTGCCTGTGGTGGAACCGAAAGCCACATCAACTCCCGTTCGTTCCTGATTGTGAGATTGCCCAGATGGTCGAATGGTAAATCGAGATGCTGATAAAAGTTGGCGCCGAAGCTACTAAAGCTACCCACACTCAACGTCTTGAGGTTTGCCAGCCGCTCAATGCCGTTAAGGCTGTATGTTGTTTGAATACTGCCAATTGTTTGTTCAGTGATACCGGATCCGCCCAGCACCAGCGTGAGATTGTTTGGCTTTCCGAATGTGCTATAGGCGAATTTTACCGTGCCAATCTTCGCGGCGCCAATCTGAAGGCGCTTGACTTTGCCAGAGTTGTAGATGGAAACTTCGTCAACTCCGAGTTGAGGTTCCCTGAAGAATGCGTCCAGAGACTCGAGACCGCCTAATCCGAGCTCCATGGATCTACCAACAATTGAACTGTCGCGATACGTGATACCGGTGACATTTTGAAAGGCGCTCAACTTCAAATTCGTCAATTTGGGTGCGTACATGAGTCGCATATATCCCACTGACTCTAACCGGTCGACGTCGAGATACTTCAAGCTTTCCAGGCTGTGGAGTACAAAATTTTCGCCGACCGATTTCAGTTCTGGAAAGCTGAGGCCTGAGATCCATCCGTCGTATGCTAAGATCATTGAGCCATTGACTCTTGTGATGGTACTGGATGCAATGCTTGTCATATTCTGGTTATATCCGATGCACTGCGCTGATACTTGTGGGCATTGAGAGTCGTTCACAAGGTCGCCATGAATAACCTTGACTCCCTCGAGGGCAATCCCCTGAGTGGATGCTCCGGTGGTGACAGTAACATTTCCGAAGATCTCGGGACAGTTCCGCAGTGCATCTGCGTCCGCTTGTGAAGTGATTACCACGGAACCACACTCCTGGCCGATGACTTCTGTTGGTTCAAAGGGTCGTTAGTCGAGTGACTGGCAGGCCTCATTTCATGACTTCTTACGATGCTGGCCAGCAATGAGGGCTAATAAGAACCCATTCCTCCAAGACGATGACCCGAGCATGTTGCAAAGACCCGAACTACAATCAGTTGCAAGCAAACCCATTGGCGAGTGGGCGCTGACGTCCTTAAAGACAACCAAACCCCCCGTTATTTCCAAAGCTCCACTGAATTAGCTATCTGCATTGGGGCACATGTCCGTTCACCAGTAGGTAGGGCTGGCAAAATAAGCTTAAGCCTGATGATCAACACATAAACTGCTGCCTAGTGTACAAAACATACCGTCGGGATACTGACTCCGATAGAAGGCTTGACCACAATTTTCTCACAAAGACCGGGCGTCTGTCCCTGGTCGATTTGGTGGATAAAATTACAAGCATCCCGAAGAGCTGAAATCGCAGGGTCTTAATGCAGGGTCAAATCGTCTGACCTGCCTATTAGGCAGTAGCTTCGTAGCTGCCAAGTCCGCCCTACCCGAGGAGGAGCCTTGACCGAAGCCAACGGCCCCATTTGGGACTTCTTTTCCGAACTTGGGCCAAACAACACAAATTTCAGACATGCACAACTTGTGCAAGAACGCGTCTTGATTGTGCCTCAACTACGCGAATTACACAGGCCAATTTCAACATCAATTGAATCTTGCGTCTGCTAATCACCTCCGCGGCAGTCACAGGGACTTTTATGGATATTGGTGAGCACTGAAACAGCACCCAGACTATTCGTTCCAATACTGTCGCTGTCACCACCTGCCCGTCAGAGTACTGGCAGTTGATTCTTAATGATGGAAGCCTTGAAGTTGCAAGAAAGTTAGAACGTTATAATCGGCATCAAAGGACGGAATGCAATCAATGGTTTGAAAAGACTTCGTGCTATGACACATATGATTCCCTGTATTCTCTTTTTGAGAACTCAACCGCGTTTTCGTATGACGCAGCACGAGTTTCGAAAGACTACTTTATGCGACGACTGGAATTGAGGGCATTTCGCGTGTTATTGTGTCATCTCAAGACAGAAATTGGAGGCCAAGGCATTGGAGCAAGTCTTTGGGCCATGGAAACAGCCAGACGATGAACTTACCTACTAACAGAAAGTTCAGCTTTTGAGGGATGCAGGGCGATTTCGCTCAAACAGGCAGATTGTTTTCAGAACGGGGAGGCAGCATCAATTACCATAACTCCCAGATAGGTACCGATGCTGGCTATTTGTAGGTATCTCTGTAGACTCCGGATCCGGATTGGCGGTAAGTGGCTTATACCTTCATGATCTTGGCAGAGACTTAGTCGCTCTTCGGACACTTTTCAATGGCTTACAATGCCGATTTTCTTCTTGGCACCCGTCGTAAGGATCTTCAACCCCAGTGCTCCTCACCCGCTGGGCGCACTCACGACTCGAGAACTCCGTCGGACTTTGACTTTATTCCCCGTCATGATACAAAACTACCCATGACATGGTCTCTCCTAACACGAGTTATCTTGGCAAGTATGCAACTTCTGGAGAAGCCTATCATTCTTGCTATGATTTCCAAAGATAGAGGGAGGCTCAGATGAGTGCCAAGTCGAGGTTAATCAATCTGAACTTTACGGAGTGTATTTGCTGACGAACACTTCGCTCACCACAGGGCTTAAAGGACTGGCGATATTCCAATTCAAGTAGATAAAATGAAATCACTTTACATCTCTTTCTTTGATAACCGTGTTCTCTCCATAATTCAACTGCCGTCTACTTATTCCTCAAACTACCAGCAACCATGAAGCACCCAGTACACATCCTGTTGTTGCTCTTGACATTTGTCCTCTCGTCCGCGGGGACGATCGCACTCACCTTTGCCCCATGCTACGCAACGTTTTGCTCCGAGGACTACTTCGAATTCGAAACTAGGTTACACCTTTTAGTCTACTTCGGCTTAGTCGCTGGCTTCGGCTGCTTCCTCCTCCTTCGATCTTATACCACGTGGGCTCGTGCCCTAAGCAGTTACCATCTCATGCGCATACCTTTGGGAGGTAAACGTGTTACTCTTGGTGGTCTTTTGGCAAGTATTTGGATAGTCGCGGTGGTTGCCTCCACGACTCTGTTCTGGCTACCAGCTCAGCGGGACTTCTGGGGTTTCAGAGCAGACCCTTTGGGATGGGCGAGTGCTAAGCTTAGACTCACAATCACGGGGGTGACTGGCCATTACGCCGATATCCTGCTCGGACTATTGGTGATCCCGGTTTCCAGGAACAGTCTACTTGGAAGGGGGTTCTCGTTGCATCATAGCACGCTATTGTATGCGCACAAGATCGTTGCCTATCTCTTTTCGGCATCAGCAACCGCTCATGGAGTTACCTACATTGTAAGTCTTCGGCTCACTCCCGGTACCTTGTGCAAATCCTAACAGTTAGTAGCTGTACGCGACGGATTCCAGCAGCGAGGGTGATGAAGCAAAGGAAGAAGCATTCGCAACAGGCAATCCGGCAATGACTCTGTCGGAGAGCAAGCACAGAAGCGAATGGTTTACCATGACCACATACACCGGCATAGCTGCCATTTTGCCCGTGTGGCTGATTATCGTCACCTCACTTCCATGGATCCGGAGAAACCACTACAATTTCTTTTACTACACCCACGTCATATTCGGTCTGATCATCTTCATCGCAGCATGCATCCACGCCAGTACCGACTTCTATCTCTTACTTCCCGGACTGTTTCTCTGGATCGCCGACTGGGCATGTAGACTCTTTGGCGGACAGACCGGCGGCATTGCCTCGAAGACGGGCGCGACTTTGGAGAATGCAGGCAACAATTGGCTCAGGATATCCATACACCTGCCAGTCTCAAAGAAAGCATCAGCGAGCACTTTTGACCTCGTCCAGGAGAAGGGAGAGACTCTGCATGAACCCCTCAGCTACTATTATCTCAGCATCCCGTCCATCAGCAAATTCCAGAACCACGCATTCACCGCTGCAGTTTCTGCTTCCACCGGAGCTGGCCCTACTTTTCTCTTGCAACCCACTACCGGAAAGAAGCAAAAGAGGCTGGACAAGGAATGGACTTGGAAGTTGGGCGCTCTCGTTCCTCAACCATTTGAGACCACAGCTGTTGAAGTCCGAGTTGAAGGGCCCTACAGTGTCGGCGACGACGGCTTCAAGAGCGCTTCCCACATTGTATGTGTTGTAGGTGGAACAGGAATCACCGGCGCCTTGAGTCTAGCATCATGGTGGTTGGAGAAGAGGCCAGCCAACTCAACCTTCACTCTCGTATGGGCTGTGCGTCATAGAGAGACTACGGCGATCACGGAGTGGACTCAACTTCAAGAGGCAGCTTCTTCGGTTCCGGAGCTTACAGTGGTTGCCCACGTGAGTTCAGAAAGTGGTCGTTTGGAACCCACCTCATGTATCCGTGGAGCTCTCATTGACGGCCAGCACACCAAAGTGGATTCCGTCGGACATGCTTGGGTCTACAGTTCTGGCCCAGCAGGTCTTATTGGCACTGTTGAGAGGGCGTGTGTTGAGGCTCGGAAGGGTATCGCTGCTGGTAGAAGGGGGAGAAGTACCGACTCGTGGAAAGTACGCGATCTGGGCTGGTACATGGCGAAATGGGAAGTCTGAGGTTTTCAACTCCCACAAGCTTGGTAGGTAGATTTCCCTTGTTATCTGTAAATTGGTGGTTTTTCTTGTCTGCACGTGGGCTGATTGGCAGCAATGACAGTTGTTCCTAGCGGACTCAATTTTTTAGACTCTACTTTCTTATTCCTCATATAGAAAAGTTGAAGAGTATCAAATGCACATTTGAAGTGATAGCCTTGCACGACGTGGATGCGCTTGTTCCGATCAGCTGAATAAGACTACATGTAATACTCAATGGTTGCTAAGTAGAGTACAAAAGTACGATATTGCTTTGCGAGAAATTCAGTTGGAAATACACTACGCCCCGATTTCCTTCACAACTCTTTTGACAACCTCATCCAGATCTTCCTCTGAAACACCAAGCTTGCCCATATCGGTGACCTTGGCGCTGTAGTCACCGCCCCAGCCCTCGCGCATGTGGTTGACATAGAAGCCAACCAACATAGCCATGTGATCACCCTTCTTGAACTTCTCGTTCGAATCAGCTACAACAGCCTCTGCATCCAAAACCTCAACCTTCCAATCCGCCTCCTTCGTGCCCGTAGCTCGCAGAATGCTATCAAGCATATCCCTCTGGCTGATGTAAAAAGACTTCAAGTACACAGGCTTGTTCCGGAACTGCTCAAGCTCAGCATCAGGTAAGCTCAAAACACCAGCAGTGGCCTTTCCGGTCGTGCCAATAGTGGTGGTGATGAACTTTGTGTTGCCGCCATCAAATAGCTTCGCATAGCGGTTCTTGATATCGATGCCCCAGAATCCCTGACCAAGAGACCAGTCGAACCAAGGGTTGTTGACAATGGCGATCCAGCTCAGGCCCAACTCCTCGGTCAAATCGCGGAACTGCTTCTTGCCCGCGACCATGGGGCTGGCCTCGAGCAACTTGGACGGCGCGGGATCGGAGCCAAATTCGGTAGGCAGGACCCACTTGACGCCGGCCTTGGCTGCGGCGCGGATGAGAGGTGCCTGGCCGGTCATGAAGCTGTCGAAGCCGAGTTGCAGAATGAGCACATCCTGGCCCTGGAACGCGGAAACCAAGAATTCTTCGTCTGCATAGTCGCCTTTCTTGACGATGACGCCGGCTGGCAGCGTGGCGGAAGATTCGGCGCGGGTGACGGCGGTGATGGTGTGGATGCCCTTGTCGAGGAGGGCGTTGAGGGTGAAGCCGCCGAGGTTACCACTGGCACCGACGATGGCGATCTTGCGTCCTTGTTGTCCAGACATTTTTTGAGATGATCTTAGTCTAATGCGATACGATGTCGATTGATGGTTTATAATTGAAGTTGATGCTCGAATTTTGCTACCTTCAAGTCTTGACTGATTGATCTGTTGTGTTCTGCATTCTCCTTCATCCACAAGAGGGCAGATGCCATCCTTTAATATTCCTGACATACTGACAGATCTCAATGAGGCACAAGTAGTGTCCCCGTTTCCGTGCTCAACAAACAATGCATTATTGCTTCCAGCACCCGGATAGTGTGTAAGCCTTCAGAGACATTGAATCCTCCACCACCATGAAAACGCATCCGGCGAGCACAGACAACACCCAAAGTGCTGCTGACAACTTACAAATGGAGTGGCTGATTGCTAAGCTCCTGGGATCAGCTAACTTAAAAGGGTCCGAAACCTGGCCAGATGTGGCTGGTTGGTGTCCACACCGCGCGGTTCGGGGGTAAATTAGCCACGTTGGGATGCTTCAGCTCCGAGACTTCGGACTTTTGAGTTGCCCATTTTGTTGATTTGGGGCAATTCCTCTCTGCAGGCACCCCAAATCTGAGTAATCCAGCTCCCGTCGTTGTGAAGTTTGTGAGACGACTCACTGTTTCTTGGAATGACATCCCCGGGACTCTCGTGCCGTGAAAGGATCAGACTGCAGGCTTCACTACCTATCTTTGTCAGCTGGAGCTGAGCCAGCTGGAGCTGAGCATCTCATGGCCAAGGAAGGTCGAGAAAAAAACTTGTGGACAGTGGTTCTGTTCATCGAAAGATGACTTGTTGCTCCCCGTGAAGGAATTAACTTTGCGAGCCGACCGGCCATTGCAATTTTCGCAATTTCGAAATGTCTCCGGCTGCGCCTGTCACCAGCTGGCAACAGTCGACCTCGTCTGAAACGCGCCTGTGCTCTCCCAGCTCATTCGGCGGCGCATCGCTGACGGCATTCGGAGACGCAGCATGCGCTCACCCATGCTCACCTTTGTGCAGCTAACATCGACGTATTGAAGGCGAAGTAGCAGGATTTCTCGTCTTATTGGATCGTCACTCACCTTGTGTAAGTTCAAGTGTGATGAGATCGCTCCACTTCACACCGGAGCGTTGACCACCAGCTCTCAGCCTGCTTCGATCACCCTCCGACCATGGGCAACTGAGCGAGCCACGCATTCACAGCCTTGAGCCTCGTAGGAAACCTGTTTGTGATCGCCGGGCCGATAAGTTTCAACTGGGTTCATAATGGCCTCCGCCTCTCGCGATGGCGCCCGCTTCCAGCCGCTCCCCTCGGGACCCTCAGGGCCGGGCTCTAGCTCCTCTAGGTCGTCCTTTGACTCAACGTCCGACCCCAACGATGCCGACGACGAAGCTTTCGCACTTCTATCCGACGACGATGCCGTATCTCTTATTTCAGATGACATTGAGCTCGAAGAGATCTCCACAGCCGGGCCATCCGCCGGCTCGGGCTCTCGTCCGGCTAAGTCCCGGTCAGAGATGGATCAACGGTTCCAGGATGCCATCCACGCCGAGCGGAATATGACGCCACGAGATGCCATCCGCGCTTACCCGATGGCCGTATTCTGGAGTCTCGTCGTGTCTCTATGTGTGATCATGGAAGGTCGGTTCAATATTACAGGCAACTACGTGAGTACTCCAAGCTGACGAGTTCATAGGCTACGACACCATCCTCATCGGCAGCTTCTTTGCCCACCCAGAATTCGCAAAGAAATTTGGCGACGGCAAGGACGATGAAGGTCGAGACCAGCTCTCTGCACTCTGGCAAGCTGTTCTCGGTAACAGCAGCACCTTTGGCTGCATCATCGGCGTCATCGCCAACGGCTTCCTCGTCGAGCGGTGCGGCCAAAAGACAGCCCTCATCAGCTCTCTCTTCGTGCTCTCCGGCTGCATCTTTATCACCTTCTTTGCAACCAATAAGATCATGCTCATGCTTGGTCAGATCGCGTGCGGCCTGCCCTGGGGCGTCTTCGCATCCTCAGCACCCGCGTATGCGTCTGAGGTCTTGCCGTTGACGCTGCGGGTGTATCTGACGACGTGGACCAATATGTGCTTCATCATCGGCCAGCTTATGTCTGCGGCTGTACTCGCGGGCCTACTGCCGCGGAAAGACGAATGGTCATATCGGATCCCGTTCGCATTGCAATGGTCTTGGCCGGTGCTGCTTATCCCGCTGCTGGTATTTGCACCGGAATCCCCTTGGCATCTTGTCCGGACCGGCCAGCTCGATAAGGCGGAGAAGGCTCTACTACGCCTCCAGAGGCGAAAAATTAACAACCTAGACGCCAAAGTTCGTCTACGTGAAATCATAGAAACCGATAGAATGGAGCAGGAGCACCAAACAGGAACAACCTACTGGGACTGCTTCCGCGGCGTCGAGCGCCGTCGCACAGAAATCGCCTGCGTTGCATTCGCAGGCCAAGTCCTCTCCGGCTCGAGCTTCGCCTATAACTCAGTCTACTTCTTTCAGCAAGCCGGACTGAACCCGCAGGATGACTACAACCTCAACGTCGGCGGCACCGCGCTAGCTCTGGTCGGAACCGTTGTCAACTGGGTTGCGCTGATGCCGTACTTTGGCCGTCGCCGCATCTATCTATGGGGCATGTTCTGCATGTCCACGATACTCTTCATCATCGGCATCCTCGACAGGATAGGCCGGTTACCCAATGCACCATCGTCACCCATAGGCTGGGTCCAAGCCTGTCTTACTCTTGTGTGGACTTTTATCTTCCAGCTGTCGGTTGGTCAACTCGGATGGGCTATTCCCGCCGAGGTTGGCTCTACACGTCTACGACAGAAGACCATTTGTGTCGCGAGGTCAACCTACTATGTGATGAATCTACTGGCCAATGCCTTCCAGCCATTCTTCATCAACCCGAACGCGCTGAACCTAAAGGGTACCACAGGTTTCGTCTGGGGGACATCGGCGTTTCTCACGTTTGTGTGGGCATTTTTCCGGCTGCCGGAGACAAAGGGACGCACGTATGAGGAGCTGGATTATCTCTTTCACAACAATACTGCAACAAGGCAATTCGATAAGACAGAGGTGGATGTTTTCGAAGGAGGATATGAGAAGGTTTCACCACCAAGCTCTCGATGAGTTCCTCAAGTATGTTAATTTGTAAAGTAGGATCCAAGCTACCGACCGGGAGAAAACGGCGACAGTTAAAGTCCTTGGATGCGTGGAGAGAACGGAATATAAGAATCACTTCTGGCTTGAATAAGAAGAATACACCCCATTGACCAATAATCGTTTCTCCCTGGCGATGGGTTGATCTCTTTCGTAATTGTTGTGCACCTAGTATCGGGGATCTTGGTCGGAGAGCGCTTCTTTACGATTTGGGGCAATGAAGTGAGCCCTCATGCGACAGCTTCTTTATTTATGACGTAGTTACGCATGTTTTGAAGCCATCTCTTCTATCCCGAGGTCTCCCCATCAACTATGAATAGTTAAGCTGCAGTCACGCTTGTACATCAGATGCCACGACCTTTTGACTCGTCAACCTCGATTCAAATCCGGCAGAAGCTCACACAAAGAGCAGGGATCATAGCTCAACGCCACGGAGTCTCCCCGCACATCCACAGCCCAAAGGCAAAAGGGCAAAACACACACACCGACCGAAAGACCCCGGTCAAGCTTGCTCTCCCCCACCAAAGGGCGTCAGGGCGCAGCCAACACGCTGGCAAGCTTCGGAGACACGACGCTAACGAAGCGGTTACCCCAACGAGTAAGCAGACTGGAACGTCGGCGAGCGGGCAGAGCAACGATCCTCCCTCTTGTAGAATCACCCTCGGCACTGGGCGGCCATTCTAATTAGCTATGGTTTCGCGAAACGCGTGCGCGGGAACTATGGAACCTGCGGCTTGCCACGGCTTCGGTGCATGAGACGGGCCCGGATCTTGATAACAGATGCAATGCGGGGAAAGCTATCTTAGTGAGCTGCTCGATTCACACAACGTCTTCTTTTCTCGGTCAGCTCTTCTCCAAAAACTCACTTCTTCACCTCTGATTTATTGAGTAGTAATTCGTTCCGCGTGCATTGACCTCTGACAATCACTTCCTCCAACGTCGCTCACCCTGACTCCAATTTAACCTTCTCGAAGCTCCTCATCTACATCTCACCTACCTCTCCCCCTTTTCGCGTTGACACGAGGACACAGCAAGCTGGAAATACTTTAGAGTAGAGCGAAGCTTTAGATACGACCTATCTACCTACGCTACAGGCTCGAAGTCCTATCCTCACAACGCGTTCCAGATCTTAGGAAACCAGCAGCACGCAAGATGGCAACTGTTGTAGAGAAGCGGGGCGGCCAGACGATTTACAAGTCCCCAGATCACATCGATCTCCCCAAAGTCGACCTTCTAACATTCCTGTTCGGTGAGTCTGACTCTTACGCAAACCCCCCTATTAGATGGCCGACCTCGGCCGTTCGTCAACCGCACGTACTGACAGAATGCAGACTCACCAAATGAAAGACTGCGCGATGACACCGTCCTCCACGCCGACGCGGCAGACCCATCCAGATCAATCACCAAATCCCGCCTAGTAAAGGCTCTCAAACAGCTCGGTCACACCCTCCGCCACCAGTACGGCATCAACAAGGGCGACGTGGTGCAGGTCATCTTCACAGGCCACTACATGGCCCCCACCGTCTTCTACGGCATCATGGCAGCGGGCGGCACCGTCGCGGCGTCAACGCCGTCCTCCACCCCGCCAGAGGTCGCGCGCCAGATCAACCTCACCGAGAGCAAGATGGTCATCTGCAGCCCTGACCTCAAGGCGCTCGCCGCTGCTGGTGGATCAGCTGCGGGACTACCCGACAATCGGATTCTCTACATTGGCGACAGCCACGAGTTCCAGCTCTTCGAGGCCAAGACGGATAAGAGAGTGCCTCTTTCGTCACAGGAGCTCGACTGGGAACGGGTGACGGACCAAACGAGACTCGAGAACACTGTTGGCTGCTACATTTACAGCAGTGGTACGACTGGTATCCCCAAGGCGGTGAAAATTTCTCATGCAAACATGATTGCGCAGACCATGTTCATCTCGACGCCGACGATAGAATATTATAAGACGCACCCGAAGATGGAGTATATCACGCTC